ATTGATGCGATGAGTCGACATGGACAGGTTGTACGAGCCAGTTAGGTAGCATTCTTCTCTCTTCTCAATACAATAGAGTCTGTGTCTGGGTTTGTGTTTGACTCGATGTTAACACCTCCCAGTGACGACTATCTGACATGAGTAACACGCATGCATATAGGGTATATTATACATACATATACACATACATATATATATATATATATGTATACAAATATATAAAAAGTACATACTATATTTATATATATATATATATATATATATATATATATATCGTATGTATATATACGTATGTGCCTAATTATCTTATAAGCTAATATAAAACAATTTGCTTTTATTAAAATAATTATTTATAATGATTTATTTTATACTTACGTATGAATAGAATAAACGATTTGTATTTATTAAGATTAAGATTAGATTTTCATGAGAAAATTATGATCTCTCTCTCTCACTCTCTCTCTCTCTCTCTCTCTCTCTTTCTCATATACGCAGGCATACAAATTTATAGTAATTTTAATTTCGCGATACTCTGTCATCGTCTGAAGAATACCTATATATCTTTCTCTCTCTCTCTCTCTCTCTCTCTCTCTCTCTCTCTCTCTCTTTCTCTTATTTCGTTGGCAAATTCTCGCGAGTAGAAAAGAGACAAATAAGATGGTACACGAGTCAATTTTCGGTACTGAGTCTCATCTTAAAGTTTATAAGAGAAAGAGAGAGAGAAAGAGAAAGAGAAAGAGAAAGAGAAAGAGAGAGAGAGAGAGAGAGAGAGAGAGAGAGAGAGAAACAGAAGTAAAGACGACTTGTTTTCTGTCTTTCCTCTCGTGCGCCTAATTATACAACGAATTTAATGAATGAGTGAGCTAGCAAAGACAGTGCCCCATAGATGAGCGTATATAAACCACGGTCAATGCCGTGTGGCGGCTTTTTCATAGAGATCAAAGGGAACGTCTCACTCGCACTTTCGGCGACGGGGGTTCACAACGAAAGAGTTGCAGAGAAAGAAAGAAAGAAAGAAAGAAAGAGAAAGAAAGAGAATGAAAGAGAATGAAAGAGAGAGAGAGAGAGAGAGAGAGAAAGAGAAAATATGTTAGGCTAAAAAGGAGACACTTAGTGTTACCTACTCGTTACAAATTGCTGTAAAAATAATTGCTGAAAGATTTTCCCTTTTCCCTTTCTTTCCCTTTTTTTCTTTCTCTCTTTTTTTCTTTCTTTTCTATCTCTTTTTTTTTTCTTCTCTTTTTTTCTTTTTTTTCTTTTTTTTTTTTCTTTCTTTTTTTTTTCTTAATATCTTTTTCATTCTTCTTTTTCCTCTTTTTTTTTTTTTTTTTTATTATTATTTTTATTTATGGTTCACTCCTGTACGTTCGTTCGTTTGTTCGTTTTTATTAACGAGGGAAATCTTTTCTTTTTTTCTTCCCTTCTTCCTTTTCTCTTCCTCGTTCCAACTTTTTTTTACAGCAGGTAATTTTTTTCTTTTTTTTTTTTCTTTTTTTTTTTTTTTTTTTTTTCTTCTCCAACCATGGAATTGACAATTTTCGTCGAATTCACTGTCATACGATTTTGTTTTAGATTTTGTTTTGATAGCAACGAATTTCTGTTCGAGTCGTCATTATGGTTAATCGATTATCAATTTGAAATTCTCATGGTGATTATTCGTCGTATAATTGATTAAATATGAATTGGATTGATAATGTTTAAAAAAAAAATTTTATCCTATAAGATCGAGCTCTGAATTTATGCTGAGTCGTCGTTACGATTGATCGATTATCGATTTGGAATTCTTATGGGGTTTAATTTGTTATAATTCAATGACTACGAATGGGATTAATAATTTTTTTAAAATTTTATATAATATATATATATATATATATATATATATATATATATATATATACATACTTAATTGAGTTCTACTATGCTTAGAATTTATGACGAGTCATTATTACAGTTGATCAATTATTGATTTGGAATTCTTATGGGGGTTATATATAATAATTCAATGGTTATAAATGGTATTAATAATGTCTTAAAATTTTATATCATAACATATATATATATATATATATATATATATATATATACACACATATATACATACATATATATAATTGAGTTCTATCAAGCTCAAAATTTATGACGAGTCATCATTAAATCCGATTGATTATCGATTTGAAATTCTTATAGGGATTTATTAATAACAATTCATCGGTCATGAAATTTTATTTCAATTTGTTCTCCAAAATGGAGAATTTTTTTTTAATAATCTGCTCAATTATTGGATTTTATCAATAGATATCCCTATTAACTAATATATAATTAATAAAGTCATATGAACGTGTGTCTTGAGATTTGTTCCTATGTTTCCTTTCATTTAGTTTCATTTCATTTCGTTTCGTTTCTAAGACGAAAAGTATCTTCACAATCGTGGGATGGATTCGTGGATTCGTCGCTAACCGCTAATCCAAATTTAGAACGACTGGCGAACAATAATATTGAT